TTTTTTTTTTTTTTTTTTTTTTGTTTTTTTTTTTTTGGCTTTTTCGAGACAGGGTTTCTCTATAGTTTTGGAGCCTGTCCCGGAACTAGCTCTTGTAGACCAGGATGGTACAGTTCCTTTTCAATGCAATTGTGTTGTACAATCTGCCTTGGGAAACACAAACAAATGACCCCAAATAGGCACCTATGGTAGACCAAGGAAAACAAACCTTCGTGTCTAGCTACATGAATGAGTGGGTTTATTAGGGTGAGTGTAACTTACAGGAGCACTGATCACTCAATGGCAGCTGCATCACTGAATCAGCCTCCCTCAGCAGGGCACTGATTCACCACAGCTGCAGCCACGGAGCCCCCTGCAGGATTGGCAGCTCAGCTGCTCTGAAATCTCCCCACCAGGAATGCTTACTGGTTATATAATGTTGAGAAAAGAATCATGACCCTTTTAACGTTCTGTATTTTTAAGACATTCTTTTTTATTTACCTTTGGAGACTCTCTTTATATTTAAAATGTGTCTGTATGTGTGCTATGCGTGTTCCCATGTGTGTTGACATATCAGACTTATGTTGCTCTCCTTCCACAATTAATTTCTACCTTTTTCATCTAGAAAGATCTCTCAATCCTACCCACTACTTGGTAGTCTATACAATCTAGCTAGCGAACTTGCTGCATGGTTCCACATTCTCTGGTTTTTGAGTGTGGGATTATGAGGTGGCTGCCACATCCATTCAATATTCATGCGCATTCTGCAGATTGCTGGTTCTCATATCTGCATGGCAAGTGCCTTATGTGTGTGTGTGCTTGTGTGTATCTTTGTGTGTGTATGCAGTCGCACACATGCTCATGCAGCACGCATACACACAAGTAACTGTAGATGCCTGGTAAGGTTAAAGACTTTGGAAACCTCTGAAGCTCTGGGGCTTTGAGTAGTTTCCCAGTGTGGGTGTACAGTGACAGTTAAAGTTCAAAGGGTCAGACAGTTAAAGTTCAAAGTGTCAGCCTACTAGGAGGTAACTCGCTGATGAGTGAATCCCAGATAGGATAGGCCCTGAGACCCCAGACCCCAGAATGTCTTTTGCTTCTGCTGTGCCTTTATATATTTGTGGGGCTGTCTTTCTCTGGTATTTTATATGGTGTGGATGGGTGTGGGTAGATCTCCACTGGCTATAATGTAGTGTGTTTATCTCATGAAAACATCCTGCTTTTCTGGGTATTTTACCTGTGGGTTATTATGAAGATGATTTCTTCCTAAGCTGTACTGTCTAAATGATAATAATAGTGTCAGTTTAAATAGAGCTTTGATGATTAAAAATAAAACAAGGAAGTGTTGCACAGCTAGGAACACATGAGTTTCTACTGAGGAGCCAAATAGACTGTGGTTTAAGTTAATGATTAAAAAAATCAGTTGAGTCCCAGTAGCCTGACTAGTTTAAATTCTTTTAATCTTAATGTTGGGAGATGTGTTCTCAGGTTTCTGGGTGCACAGCTGAAACAGGCTTTGAAAATAACTTAAAGTTAGACTAAGATGTTTCTGTTAAATAGTTTTAAGGAGAAAAACACAGGAAGACAACTAAGACTCCTTCTGGAGTCTTTGGTGGAGTTGAAGAATAAATAGATAGTTATAGTTTTCCTTAGTTATGATAAAAGATAAAATAGATATAAATATTGTAACTGTAATTCTTGCTTGATAACTGTTTTGTTATATGTAATTTTAATATATTAAAGTGAAAGCCTTTCTTTTTTGTTTAAACAGAAAAAGGGGAAATGGAGGGCCTTCTGTCTATGAGTTACTTTCATTGGTCAAATAAAGAAACTGCCTTGGCCTTTTGATAGGACGGCAGCTTAGATAGGCAGAGTAGACAGAACAGAATGCTGGGAGAAAGGAGGAGAGACAGAGAGCCACCACCATGAAGCTGCCAGGTCAGACATGCTGAATCTTTCCTGGGTAAGCCACAAGCTCGTGGTAACATACAGATTATTAGAAATGGGTTAAATCAATATATGAGAGTTAGCCAAAAACGGGCTGGAGACAATGTGCCAGGCAATGTTTAAATGAATACAGTTTCTGTGTAATTATTTCAGGTGTAAAGTAGGTGGGAAGCAGCCCGCTGCTCTCCTTTTACAGAATGGCCCCACGTTGGGCACCAAGTGTAAGTGTTGGTGTATTAGGTTAGTACACTAAATAACCAGACCAGCTCAAAACAACAGATATAATTTAATAATTAAAAAACAGGGAAACTCGCGCTACCAGAGTGGAAGGTCCGAAGTCCAAATGGGTCCGGCAAGCACAGCATAGAGAGCACCTATCTACCCCGTTTTTCTACCTGGGCTCCAGGCGGACACACCCTAGCCAGATGTGATTGGCTGAGCTCCTCCATCCCATTTTAACAATACAGCATAATGGCTCCTGCCTTCCAAATGAAGTCAGGCAGGTTCCTGATTCAGTCCTTGACTTACGTGTATCTGTCAACTCCTTGAGAGAGGACTGTCTTAAATGAGGTCATTAAGTAGCAATGATGCTAGAGTTGTTTGTCTGACAGTGAATGACACATTGTGGAGCACAGGTCTTGATTATGATGACCAGTAGATGTAACATTAGAGGGCTGATGAAGTAGGGGGACCATCTTAGCCAAATTGGCCAGTGAAAACTTGTTTGGGAGATTTTGTCTATTTCTTTATATGATGATCAATTTGGTTGTCAATAGTATGAAAAAAATATCAGCGATATTAAATAGCACACTCCAGTAAATTGTTGACAACCAAGATAATCTTGGTTTGAGTAACAGGAAGTCTATAGTATCTCAATTTTGTAGAACAGTTGTCTCAATCTTCTCATTTCTTGATTAATGTTGGCGAATATTACTGCTGCAATATTAGCAGCTTTTGAAATTAGACAGGCTATTTTAGAAACCTCTTGCTGTAATCCAACAAGTCCTAGGATTGGTTTTTAAAAAAAAAATGCCACAGTGGCAAAAAAAAAAAAAGTGGAATCTAATAAATGTAAGGAATCATTGCAATTTTCAGGAAGAGTTCTTGTGATTCTATTAACCGATGAAGCAGGATCCCCAAAGCAGGCAAAGTGGCAGGATACAAGGTCAATACACAAAAACAAGTAGCCTTATTATATACATATGACAAACAATCTGAAATAGAAATTGGGGAAGCAATCCCATTCAAAATAGTTTTACCAAAAAAGAAAAAAAGAAAAGAAAAAATGCCTTGGAATACACCTAACCAAGTCCATGGAAGACTTTACAATGAAACAGAAACATGTAAGAAATGCGCTAAAGAGACACAGAGAGATGGAAAGATTCCCCATGCCTATGGATTAGAAGAACCAATATTGTAAAAATGGCTGTTTTATTGTAAGAAACCTACAGAGTCAATGAAATCCCAATGAAAACTCTCCTGCCTTTCTTCACATAAATAGAAAAACATTGTAAAATTCACATGGAAGTAAAGACACCCCTGACAGTCAAAAAAATCACGAGTAAAAAGTGTATTGTTGGAGGTTATGCCATGCCTGTTTTCAAGTTACCCTACAGAGCCATAGAAATAAAGACAGCATGATACTGGCACAAAAACAGACTCAGATCTATGCTACAGAGTAAAGGACCCAGCTACAAGGTCATAAACTACAACCATCTGATTTTCAACAAAATCACAAAAGAAAAATCAATTGAAGAAAAGGGTATCTTCAACAAGCAGTGCTGGGAAATTGGACAGTTACATGTAGGACAACAAAATTAGATTCTTGTATCTCACCCTGCACAAAAATCTACCCCAAATAGACCAAGGACCTCAACATAAAACCAGACACTGCAAATTTATAGGAGAAAACATAGAGTCCACTTAAGACAGAGGCATAGGCAAGGACTTTTTGGATCACATTCTTATAGCTCAGTAAATAAGGGCAATAATGAGTAATTGGGAACTCATAAAACAAAAATATTTTGTATAAAAAATTGTCAGAAATTGGGAGCATAGGGACCTTGGTAGAGGGTTGAAGGGGGGGGGCGGCAGAGGCAGGAAGGGGAACAGAGAAAAATGTAGAGCTCAATAAAATTCAATAAAAAAGTTGTCAGACAAAGAAGAAACACACTAAAGAATGGGAGAAAACTTTGCCAGTTATAAATCTGATAGAAAATTAGCTACAATGTATAAAGATTTTTAAAGTAAACACTAGGAAAACAAACAACCCAATAACAAATGTGCCATGAAATGGAACAGAGAATTCTCAAAAAATTAAAAAATGGCTAATTAGCATTTGAAAAAGTATGTAACATCACTGGCCTCAGAGATATGCAAATTAGAACTACTGAGGGGCTGCAGACCTAATGTCTGTCTCCCATTGTGGGGCTGCTTTCTATCCCTCTATCTTGTATGCACTTGAGAAAAAAGTATCCCCAGTCTTGCTTGTCCTGTGCAGTCCACAGTCAGCTCAGCATCCTCTGAGGAGCCAGAGCCTCTCTGCTGTGCTAACTGCCCTGTCCAGGCTCACTTAGGCTAGTGCTGTGAGATGCCTCAGCAGGTAAAGGTCCTGACCAACAAGCCTGCATTACTGAGTTAGATGCTCTGAACCCTCATGGTGGAAGGATAAAACTGACTAAGCAAGTTCTCCTCTGGCCTCCACATGCACCAGTAAGTTAAATAAAATAAATGCTTTAAATAAAGAATTTCAAATGTCCTTAAGGAATTCAAATTAATTCTGACTTACTATTAATGACTTAAAAAATATGTGATTATTGGTTTGCTACATACAATTATGTTGAACATTGAAGAACCTATTTCATTTACATTACCTGTCAAAATTATGATAATATGTAATCAACATCCAATCATTTTTTTGTTAGACGGGCAAATACGGCAATTAAATTATAAATTCAGAATTTCAGAATAGTCAGACTATTGTCTTACTTAAATCTAAAAGCTTTCACAAGGTGAGATGCATAGTTTAGTGATAAAATGCTTGCCTAGCATCTACAAGGCCTGGGTTGGAGCCCTAGCCTTACGAGTAATTGAATAAACAGGCTATTGTATAATTAACTCATTTGTTTAAACAGTATGTATTTGTATTCTTATATAATAAGATTAAAATAATCTGAATGTTAAAAAAATTATTTGGAGATTATACCTCATCCCATGCCCAAAGCCTAAGATAAGACAAAACAAAAAAAACAACCACAAATCCTATCAAGAACATGAGGAAAGAGTAACACTTATCCATGGTCAGTAGCTGTGGCTGACATGAGTTTGAACTAATTTTTGAGTATGTCTCTCTCAGGACAACTTTGGCATCTTCAGTCACTGTGTCAAGGAGAAGAAATTGTAAGTAAAAGGTTTTCCTAAAGTAGAGACCTGTAGCCAAGAGCCCACCATTAACTGAGGCAAATCTCTCCAAATATTTCAAAAGTTTTTCTTCTAATGTTTCCCTTTTCTTAGTTTCCAACAAATAAGGAGATTTAATGATTTTTTTCAGTTGTTCAACAGGCACTTGCGAATCCTTAGCAATGGCTTCCAGGGATGCATCATCTACTCCAAAGAGGACTCGGTAGTGGTTTAATTTCTCCTTCACCTTCTCCACATCATCCCTGAGGATGCCCACTACAGGAACAGTAGCTAAGAGTCCAGTCTTGAAGGCTTCTAACCAGATAGTCTGCTGCAGAGACTTGTGCTTTTTGTCAATCGTTGCTTCTGTGATATTAGGCAAGGAAAGCATAAAATTGTGGCGCTTTTGAGCAGGAAGAGCCTTTACCAGTGTGTCCATCAGGACTGGAAAATCATAGTCAGATAAATGGCTGTTAGAAATCAAGAAAATCTCTGGTGCGTCCAAGCCATTTTCCTTTAAGGTATCTATATAGTAGTTTCGGATCTTCAACAGGATATTTTCCCTGTCAAAGGTACGTGCTTTGGATTTCTTCTCATTTTGTAAATCATCGTCCACCTTGGTTCTTACAAAGTAGTAATTCTTTTTCATGAATTTAATTGCTTTGGCAAGGTCTAGTTCAAGTTTTGTAAAACGTGTGGCAGAAACAATAATGAAAAAATCATACTCTTGGAAATTAACTTTCTCCAGATAATCTTTCGGTGGAAAGTTCATAGTTCCAACACCAGGCAGGTCCCATAGAGTCAAAGTTTTAATTTTGGGGTGTTTGTATGCAGATCTCCTCATAGTTGTCTCTACCACCCCAATGCCAGCTGCACCTTCGTCTTCAGGTCTTACCCCTCTCAGGGCATTGATCAAACTGGACTTCCCTGCTCCAGACTCTCCAGTGACAGCAACATTTATTGGGATGTTATCAATATTTTTTAATGCAGTACTGATTACAGAGTTTGCCCCCTGAATGTTTCCTTTTGTCAGTTGTAACTCAATTGAATCGATGGTTTCCTGGGGAATGATTTTGCTTTCTGTCTTAAACTTCTTGAAATATAAAGTGAAGCTGGACTCCAAATCTCCATGGCATTCTTCCTTAGAGGAGGACTTACCCATGGCTGTGGTGAAAAGGGGCCCTGAAAGAAAGAGGGGAGAGTAAGTTGCAAGAGATTGAAGATGCCTTTGAGCTTAGCTCTGCGTTCTCGGTGCTGCAGCTTCAGTGACGTTCTGATGTTAACCAGTTCCCGTGTATTTGTGCTTTCTTTTCTGTCAACAAGATACAAACTATAGTCCTTCTGGAGGAGAACTTCTCATCTGAGGAATTGCCTCCATCCGACTGAACTGGGGGCACACCTATGAGGCATTTTCTATACTGAGGATTGATATGGGATTTCCCGGTCCACAGTGGGTGGCACACCCTTGGACAGGTGGTCCTGGGTAATTTAAGAAAGCATTATTTAACTGTAGTTGGACTTTTTCATGGAGACTACCACCTCCCCAATTATGACATGGGGACTTATTGTTAGTTATAAAAGTTCATCCAATAGCTTAGGCTTGTTTGTAACTAGCTCTTGTACCTTAAATTAACCCCATATCTTTTATCTACATTCTTTTATGTGGCTCAGTTACCTTTACTCTTTACTGTCATGCTGCTTCCTTTTATCTGCTGGTGGCTCTTCCTTTCTTCCTCTCAGAGTTCTCTCTCTCTCTCTCTCTCTCTCTCTCTCTCTCTCTCTCTCTCTCCCTCCCTCCCTCGCTGTCCTAGCTATCTCTCCTGCCTAATTAATGGCCATAGAGCTTTTTATTAAACCAATCAGAAGGTGCCTTGCAAAGATACATCTTTACAATGTACAAAAAAAAATTATTCCACAACTTTAAACTATGGAGAGCAAGTCAGTAAACAACATTCTCCCATAGTTCCTGCCTATATTCCTCAGGGTTTCTGCCATGGCTTTTTTCAACAATGGACTGTGTTCAGAATGTGTAAGACCCCAAAACTGTTTTCTTTTCAAAACGCTTTTGGTCACGGTGTTTATAAAAGAAATAGAAAGGAAAGTAGAAAAATTTCTACTAGCTCTCAGTTAAACCCTCAAATGTGGAAAAAGGAAAACTTAAGTAAAGCAAGGGAAAATAATATAAAAAGATACACAAGTCCTTTAGCCAGTTTCAACAAGTATAAAAACATGAACATCTTTGTAGTGTCTAAACTAACTGCAAAATTCTATATGAAATCATATGTTTTCTCCATCTGCGCACAGTTCCTCCAGTGTGTGCCTTCAAAATTAATGGAAATTTAATCAATACATGCTTGGTTTTACACTCTGAAAAATAAGTAACAATGTTCAGCGAGTCCGGTTTTATCCCAGGCTTTTTCAGATCCAGGCCAGCTGGCCTTGGTGAGTTCCCGATAGAACATCCCCATTGTCTCAGTGTGTGGGTGCACCCCTCGCGGTCCTGAGTTCCTTTTAAACCTTCCTACCAGTGCCTATTACTTCTCCTCTCCTGCTGGTCCCACCCCATGGCCACATAGTAATACAAAACCTCTGTGGGTGTTCCCAATGGAACACTCATATTTGAACAGTGATAGCGAACATCCACAAATGAGAGGAATGAAACAATGTTTATCTTCCTGGACCAGTTTTACCTCACTCAGAATGATGATTCCAGCTCCATCCACTTTCCCTTAAGTTTTATTTTGCTTAATAGATGAGAAATATTTGATTCTGTAGTCGTGCCATGTTGTCATTATCCTTTCCTCAGTTGATGCTGTCTAGGCTGTTCCCATTTCCCATCTAGAAATATCTTTCTAGATATGAATGAACATGAATGAGGAAGTACCTCTCTGTAGTTGAATACAGAGTCCTTTGCCCTGGAGTGACACAGCTGGATCTTGTGTTAAATCTATTTTCACTGTCTGTGGGTCTTCCTCACCTTAGTGGCTTTACCAGTTTACCCTTCCACCAGCAGTGACTGAGTGCTCTCCTTTCCACATATCCACAGGGCTCAGAAACCTTCTTTATAATTTGGGGAGGCAGTCTACAGCTTATTGACAATATATGCATATTAAACAGCCCTCTGTGGATGGATGTTGAGAGAAGTGTACAGTTCCCAACTCTTAAATTCTTCTCCAGCATGTTGTTTGCCTGTTTGCTGCCATAGTCATGACGTTCATGGACTGACCCTCTGATTCTCTAAGCAAGCACCCAATTAGATGTCTTTTTTTAATATGCTGCCTTGGTCGTGGTGTCTATTCACAGTCAAAGATAATAATCTAAGACACTGATTTCAAGTTATACTAGTAAAAATAGCATGGTCCTATCAAAAACACATAACTATCAATGGACTAGGACCAGGAGCCTAGGTATAAATCTGCATACCTACAGTCACCTGATTTTTGACATGTATGACAAAGATAAATACTGGAGAATATATACTGTCTCTAAGAAACTGTTGTGAAAACTAGATATTTAATGTGAAGAAATTGAAGCTACATTGCTATCACTCACCTTGTCCAAAATTCACTTTCAAATTAATCAAAGACTTCAAACTTACACTAACATTCTGCACCTTCTATTGCAAAATATAAGGAGTACATTTCAGAATATAGGCTCAGTTATGATCTTTCTGTATGGAACCTCTCTACACAGGGAATGCAGTCGTCAATCAAGAAGTACACCTACATGAAGTTAAAATGCTTACAAAGAGTGAAAGAAACTTTTATTCTAGTGTAACAGCATTCATGATAGGGAGAAAATCTTTAAAAGCATTAAATTAGTTAAAGGATTGCTGTAAAGAATATGCTAAAACATTTTTTAAAACCTCTAAGAAAGCAATTCAATTAAAATTGATTATGGCACTGACCAAAGCATTCTCGAAAAGAGAAACACAAACAAGAAATAATGAAGAGTGTGTTCAACATCCTAGCCATCAGGAAACCTCAAATTAAAACTACTTTGAGATTTCGTTGAACCCGAGTCAAAATAGCACCTTCATCCAGCAACTGCTGGAAGCAAATACAGAGATCTACTGGGCCGAGCTTCTGGAGACCAGCCTGATGGAGGGAGGAGCGATAATATGAGCAAAGGGGTGAAGACCATGATGGGGATACCCACAGAAACAGCAGACCTGAGTTATAAGAGCTCACTGGCTCTGGACTGATAGCAGGGAACCTGCATAGGACCAAACTTGGTCCACTGAATGTGGGTGGCAGTTGTACGGTCGGGCAGTCAGTGGGATCACTGACAGTGGCACCAGGATTTACCCCTAGTGCTTGGACTAGCCTCTTGGGGCACTTTCTCTTTGGAGGGATACCTTGCTCAGCCTAGATATAGGGGAGAGGACTCCCCACGGGAAGCCTTATCATTTCTGAGGAGTGGATGGGGGAGTGGAGGGAAGGGTGGAGCATGAGGAGAGGAGGGAGTGGGAACGGGGATAGCTATGTAAAACAAGAAAAGAGTATATTTAAAAATTCTTAATATATATTGTTAAATATATATTAAATATACTAAATGATTTGTTGAATTTGTGTAGGGAAAAAAGAAAACACACAAGACTCTGGCCAGGGAAGCAGGTGGGCTAACTGTTGATCTTCACCTTTCCCTCCCCTTCTCCAAATGCCGAAAAGAAAAACAAAACAAAAAACAGGCCTTTTAGGGATATTAAACAAAATGTAAATAGCAGATTACAATAAGACTAAATACAATCCCTCATATCAATGATATATGAGGCTTCCCAGCAGGAGTAAAAGGGTTCCAAGTGCAGGCAAAAGAGTCAGAGACGCCCCGACTCCCGCTGTTAGCAGTCCCACACGAAGTGAAGAAACACCTTAATGGAGGGTATTGTGGTCGATCTTAATGTCAACTGATCACAAATTAGAACCACTTCTTCGGAAACCTCAGCTGAAGAAGTTTTCTGATTCTCTTGGTTGGTGATGGAAGACCCACCCAGATGACAAGGATACAGCAGGGGGATCAATCCCTTGCCTTGGGCTGGCTTGGCCTTTCCTCTAACTGCAGGTTGATTAACTCTGTCTCTACTGCTGGTTCCATCGTTGTTATCAGAACAAGCACTTCCAGGAATCCCTCCGGACTCTGGACCCTGCAGAAAGCTTTCAGATTTTCTGTGCCAGATTGGGACTGTGGAGGTACTCTGCCTTGTGCCTGAGCAGTCATGTGATTGCTGGTCTGCCTAGTGAGAGACACTCATTGTGGGGTTCCCCTGACTGCTGAGGCACGCCCCCTCAAGCATTGAGCAATTAGTAAGTTCTCAGCCTCTTAGCTGGTTCCAGCTGTTGATACCATTTCAATGTAAGCTGTCTAATATATTGTTGTGTGTTAAGTACATATTATACACGTACTCACTCCACTGAATCTCATCCTTCAGAGAACCCTGACTAATACCAAGGGGGTTGGAAGAGCAAGAGCGATATGAAGAGTGGAGGTGAATAATAGAGATGAGTTTCAGTGGGGAGGAGGGTGGGAGGGCAGAGGAGGAGGGAGTGGGGGAAGGAATCACTAACTGAGCATGTCTGAAAACACTGTACTGAATCCTACTACTTTATGTGTGCTTAAGGAGCTCAACTGGAGTTACTGTGTAGGAGTGAGTGGGTAATGTTCATTCAGGAAGATGAAGGTATCAAATGGAAGCTGAGTGCAAGATGGGGAATACCCATCCCTCACGTGGTGATCAGAGGTCCCAGAGATCCTAAACACCCCTGACATGGTGATCAGGGAGGTCCCAGAGATCCTAAACAATACAGGCTACTACTATTTCTCTTGATTCACCAGAACCCAGTGGTAAGATTCTATTGCTGAAGACACCATACATGGTAGTGATAGGATATAGAGAGTTTTTGGTACTGACCAGAAAGCTTCCTGCCTTCTAACGAGCACTCAGAGTTGGAGAGTCCTGTGCAGGCTGCTGAGGGAGAACGGTCATCAATATTCTTACCTGAGTGACCCCTGACTTTTTTCCAAGTCCAGTCCCCGTGGGAAGAACAATTAGATTCCTCTCCTGCAGAAATCTTGGCATCTAAATTGACTACTGTCCCATGTCCTCAAGACCCAAGGCCCTGCTCTGCCATTTCCAGCTTACTTCCCCTACCTTATACTTGGCTTTACAGAGATGAGTGACTGC